TATATATATGTATATAATATACGTACATGTATATATATGTATATATAATCAGTCGGTATACACACACACACAGATAGATGTACGGCTGGGTGGTATGGTACAGGAGTCACCAGAAGGTGGAGCAAGCACAGCACGGCTACGTCATTGCCGCGCAGAAAACACACACACACACACAGACACGCCACCTGCGTATGCATACATGTACGTATGCTCTTGTGAAAGTCCCGCATTGCTACACCACTTACATACCGTAGGGTGGGGTTGGTGGCTCCCAGATTGGTCAGGACGTGTTTGGTGTGCGCGTAGTTGCCGCTGCAGTCGCTCATGATCTCAGTGACGTCCTCGTACTTCAAGCCGTTCTCTCTAGTGGTAGGTAGGTAGGTAGTAGGTAGGGCCGAATGGAATGCACGAGATAAGAGGGGTTGCCATGGTTACGCAACTTTATCATGAGCCCGAGTATTAGCACAGTTGCAGAGGCAGAGGGATACCTGTACTTTGAAGCGAGGGGGGTTCTGACTAATGCAAACTTAAGAACATGTCGATTACAGGTGGGTTTAACTATACATCGTCACTGTATGTGTGCACTAGATACAACGGACGTTGTGTGCGTATGAACAACGCTGTACCACCAGACAGCACGCACGCACATGCCATACTTACATTCATCCGAACTATCACATGCGCACACACACTGTGTATGCGGCAGGAGTGTGATCGATGTAGAACTACGAGGCAAGCACACGCCGTACACTCATTCACCTCCCCAAGAAACACCTACATACTTTGTTTTCGGTATAAATCCCACACACACATACATACATACACATACGTGTCGAAACCACACACACACACACACACACATCATATACATACATGTTGAAGCCACACACACACAAATACATACACATACATTTCGAAGTCACACACACACACCAAAATACACATACATGCCGAAACCGCACACACGCATGGGACTATAAGGGACGAAGCACATGCCGCAATACACAAAACATGCACCTGAAGAGTGCAGAAGGGGTGCCACCTTCACTGAAGAGGATGGGTGCGATGTTGTCGGTAGTTTGCGACAGATGGATGAATATAATGCGCAGCACTTCAGCCTGGTAGATGGACGAGATGGTCTTCTCATACAACTGCTCGCCTGGGAAACGCGAGCTTTTGTCAACACGCTCATCAAACTCAGTCAGGTGAAGCTGTGGTATGGAGAGTGACAGGCGAGTTTACGACGGAATTTGCGACATGTGTGTAGAAATAAGGTATGTGGCACGGTACAGTTGGTGAATGGGATAGCTGTAGTGGAGAAGGTAACACTTGTATTTGCAATAGGGAACGGATATGGATACGGCATACAGTACAGTCATGGTTGACTGAGGTTAGGGTTATATATATATATACATATATATATATATATATACATACATATATATATACATATATATATA